ATCGTCATTGATATTGCAAAATGGACGTAAGCAACAAAAAGAAAATCAACCAGTCTCTTTTTGAATTTAGGTGTTACAGTAATGAACGCAAACATATACACCTACATGGTACGTAATTAGTAGTACGATATCCAGCATGCATAGGTATCACAAGAAAGTCGATTGTAATGATTTTTCTTTATACTGTTTTCCTGAGAAATTACTCAAATTGCGCTTTTGGTACTTACGCCCCTTTGCGTGATCAACGACAATGTTTAGAAATTTTTTTATGTGAAAAACTTATTAATCCTATTAATCTCTAGATGCTATTATTTACTATTTTACTATTTAAACATTTTTTCTCAGAGTTATGAACGAAGTATACATAATAGGTACCTTAGCAACATATATATCTTTTCCAGACTTTAAAGAATTCATATTGTTAACCGAGAGTGAAGCAATGATCATGTACGCGCTCTCCATCCCTCGCCTATCTAGAATCCAGTCTAGATAGTCTTGTCTTTTCTTTAGCAGTAAGCCATCCAGCCGATGCCTATAACTTATTGCCACCTATGAATAAGCTATTTGAATGTCTATCTACAGATATGTTTCGAGTGTGGGCGAGATATAACTTATAAAGGCATAGAAAGAATAGCTTTGTACCTATCGTTACAGAAGAGTCATCTAATGTATACGTGCTATGAAAACGTTACTGGTATCGCATTAAGCGAAATTAAATTCTTTTAACTAATGATATTGTGAGAATCAACTACTCTGAGGGCTACAGCTCCGTCCAGCATTGAATTACACCCCCAATATCTAGTAAATAATCACCATTAATTAACGTAATTAACGTAATGGGGCAGTTTTTTCTGTATCATTTGTTAAAATAATCTCAATTATTTTTTTATGACTGCCTAAATATAAAAATAAAAAATATATGTAAATTACATGTTGTACATTACATTACATACGAATTGAAAAGACGGAAATTGTTTTTTTATGTAAGTTAACAAATAAAAACGATGAGAACATGAATGTTGTATTTTTACGAAATGTCATCAGTTGCCTTTTAAGTATCAAATTTGCAATTTATGTGGTAGGGTAAGTACCCTATTATATATGTCTTTCCCGTCAAATATACAGCTTGAATGGTATACAGGATGTTCAGTATCGAATGGACAGTGCAGCATTTTCGACCTAAAATAAACTGATACTTTAGCACAACTTTGTGTCCTTAAAAAGTTACGAACCTTGGAAACAATTTTTTTATGCCAAAAGATTTTGTGACTAAATCTTAGATTAGATGTTAGAAAAACATATTTCAGAACATGTGACAAACATAAAACCTTTGTCATTGTTAAATCATCATAATAAAATAGCGATAAATTTGTAGAACACGCTCAAAAATATTTGCATAATTTTAAAGTTAATGAAACCAAAATTGGCAAAGGAATTAGAAAATATGGATTCTTGAAAAAAGTGATTAACATAAAAAAAACCGCAAGATATTCAAAAATTTGGAAATTAAGAAATAAAATATTAAGTACGTCTTGTAAAAGAAAATCATTTTAATGAATATTCATATTTTTGGTGTATTTGTTTATTTGGTTTTTGTCTTTTTTTTAGCCTCCTCTGACCATATAAGAATAATTTATCAGATTTCGGTATCATTTTAGTTAATAAATGCACATTATTTAGGTTACGGGAGCTGTAGCACCGTACCTTACGGCATCGGGGGGCCTCTGCAAGATCTGGCAGAATTAATTTTAGCTTTTTTTTATGCGTTTAGGTGTTTTTAAAATCAAGAATTTTGTTTAGAAAAAGGGCCTGCGTAGAGCTTGTAGCCCCAGGCCTTTTCATAGGTTAACCTGGCCCTGCCTAAAGTCCAGAGCACGTTATTATTTTTTTTATTTTATTATAAAGGTATTGTCTAAATATTATTAGTATAAAAACCCATACGATACATAATGAAATTGTTAAATAATGTAATACCTCAAAGAAATATCTTGTATTTTCGTTGCTGTTAACAAACACATAAAAATAGCCACGTTAGATAGATCTTACTATTTCCAGATTTTATTGGACTGTTTCACCGGGTGGTTCCCTTGCAAATTGAATTAACAAATATTAATACAAAAAAATTATACATAAAACTTTGCTTTTCAAGATATTTCGAATCGAATTTGCTATGTGGAGGTTTTCGAAGTAGCTACATACAAATAAATGGTTAGGCATTTTAAATTTGGTCGTTTTAATTAGTGACAAAATTTTTATTCAAAAACCAAACAAATTATTCTTGAGAAAACACGGAAATTTTATGTTTTTTAAATTATATCATCCACGCTGCTGGCACTCTTGAAATCTAATACGAAAGTTTTGCATCACCCCTGCCAACATTTCAATTGAGATTGCGTTTATTTCTGTCCGATTATTTTTCAGTTCATCCAAAGTTTAAGGTCGATTAGAAAACCCTTTTGATTTTAAGTAGCCCCATAAACAGAATCACAAGCAGAGATACCGGGCAACGGTGCTGACCAATTGATGTCCCCAAATTTCGAAATGACGTGACCAGAAAACATTCTTAGCAGAATTGCCATAGACTCTCTAGCAGTATGGGAACTGACCCCTTCCTGTTGAAACCATAGTCGTCGAATATCCACAGCAACATTACGAAATTGTTCAAAGTTACGGAATATTCGCTGATAACATTGTGGTGTAACAGTAACAACATAACATATCCGGGTTTTCAGCAAGTAACGCTTCACAACGCTCGCAAAAGTCAACGCGTGTACCAAAATCTTGCGGCAGAAGTTTTTGTACGATTTGAATTTTGTAGGGATGGAAATATAAGTCTTTCAGAATACGGAGATAACTTCGGTTCGAAATATTGACTGCTAGTGCTTGTCGTTTAGCAGATCGATTAGGACTCCGTACCAAAACTACTCTTGCACTTTTAAGTGTGTGTACGGAACGAGTTTTTCTCTGGCACATGAGGTGTTACTGCGAAACTTGTTTTACATACTTTCTAATTGTTATTCGACTCAGAATTGGATCTCATTCCTAAAATAAAGAGTGACCGCCTGTTTTTTCAATAAACTAAAGAAAATAGATAAAAATATGTTTTTGGTCTCAAATTACTCGTCATATAAAATTAAGATGAGCATAGCTTTTAGTTTTTTGAAAATTTTCAAAAATCACCTCTATTTAGGGGTTGAAAAGACGCCCAAAATGAAGAACTGAATATTATCAATAAACATAAAAACTTAGCATGTGAATTTTTCCATCGAATGATTCTTGATACAAAGAAAGATTTATTCTCATGACTGAAATAAGCATGTTGAATTAGAAAACCCACCCTTAAACGCGGTCAGGGGGTGGAATCATCCCCAAAAATAGAGAATAGCAGAATTAATTGTAAAAATTCAAAAAAAATATTAAGATAATTCACATCGAGATTCACATGCTAATATTTTTTATATCAGTTGGTAATATTCAAATTCTTCATTCTTGGCATTTTTTCAACCCCTATGTAGAGCTGATTTTTAAAATTTTCAAACTATGCTCATTTCAGTTTTTTACAAGTAATTTGCAACCAAAAACATATTTTAATGTATTTTTTTTTAATTCTTTTTTGTGTTTTTTGCGGTCATTCTTTCAACCACAAAAAATCGTTGAATATGTGACCAACGCTACATATTCACAACTAAACCGACATTCCTCACAGTCGCTTTGACAACCACATTAAATTTATGCGAAAGCATAGCGACTTGATTTGAAATAGTGTCTCACTATATTACGAAACAAACTAACTTTGAAAACGGATATTTCATTCTGCCCAACTTTTTAAAAACTTTGTTGTATGATTTTCGGGGTGGTTGCAACGTCATCGATTTATAATTCTTGACGTTTCAATACGACACATCGCTCTCTTCTTACTGTAAGTCTCTCGAAACGTCAAGAGTAGTAAATCGACAACACACAGTGGGAAATATTGAAAAAAATTGGAGCCACACGTCAAAACTAATCAAATAGTACTGTTTTTTTTTTAATTCTATCCGAAATTAGCTGTACTATAAAGTTCCAGTGAGGTAATTGGAATATATGCCTAGAATTTTTTCAAAATGGCCGAGTAATCTCTGGCCTCAAACTCGATCATACAAGTTTGACATATTCGGTATCTAAGAATGAAAAAAAGAGGAAAATTAGGTACTAACGGCTACCAAACAAAAAAAAAATCATAGACATTAAACATATTCCTAAATCACGAATCTAGATCCAAAACATAACCTCAAATTTACAAATCATAATCTAAAACGAACATACTCAATTTCCTTTGTTGAAGAAAATATATTGTTTCTGTGGATTTTTAACTTCATTATTTTGGATTTGAGATTAGGTTTTCAGGTTTCCTAGTCAGCTTCCTATGAATTTGAGTTAAAGTTATGCAAAAATATTGGTTGCACACTCAAAAGTACAATTTTTATGGATTTATACTCACAGGTTTATTAAAAATTCAGTATGTTCGTTTTAGGTTAAGATTTATAAATTTGAGGTTATGTTTTGGGTCAAGATTCATGATTTAGGAATATGTTTAATGTTTATAATTTTGTTTGTTTGGCAGACTTTAGTACACAATTTTTCATTTTTAGATGCCGAATGTCAAACTTCGTATGAACGAGTTTGAGGCTAGAGATTACTCGACCATTTTGAAAAAATTGTAGGCACATATTCCAATTACCTCACCGGAACTTTATAGTACAGGTAATTTCGGAAAGAATAAAAAAAAATCAGTACTATTTGATTAGTTTTGACGCGTGGCTTGAATTTTTTCCAGTATTTCCCACTGTGCGATGTGGAAAACACCTGAAAATCATTCAACCATTAACAACAGCCACGGAAGCCTACAAACAATCTTTAAATAGTTATTTTTTTTACCTAAAACAAAGATACTTAACTTGATATAATTTTGTTTTTTTTTTTTCATTCAAGGACTGCTCTTGAAGAATGGCCCATTCATTACTGAACACTCTGTATATTGAGGATTATAATACAATAAATAGTATTTTGAAGCCCTTATATACCTATTAGAAGTGCTAAGTTTAAAATTTACTGAGTTGCATCAAACTCACACTAATAAAAATGTAATTTTTAGAAGCGTTATTAAATAATTTACAATTGTCAGAGAACTAATTACACTAGAATATCATTTATTTCAGTCCTTAAATAAAACAATTGCTAGTATAAATAAATAAAAAACTATATATCTCCATCATCTACAATGTACCTCTTTGGAATTAACGTTAATAATTTTTTATACGCCTGTATCGTCGACTCTTCTTTACACGATTCTATTGTCACTTTCACTTTATATACACTGCAACAAATTTTTATAAATCAATTAATAACTGCTAGGACCTCGCAGCGTTCCAATACAATACCTGTGAAGTAACTTTGGGTACGACCCAAATTGAACCTCGGGATACTCTTCAACGAGTACCTGCAGCACCTCGGCTATTTTGTCTTCGGTTATATTGAAGTACACCATTTTGGAATAAAATTTTTTATTCGATTTGAATAGTATTTCCTTCAGGTTATTGAAGGACTTTATCAGAAGTTCTGGAATCCCGGGGAACATGTAAACATTGTTAACGGATACGTTGGGATAGATCATTTTCTGCCCCTTAACACCAATGAAATTTAATCTGGCAGACTCCGGTACCTACAAGAAGTAAATGTTCAAGTTGGTTACAACTGTGTTCAAAAATACTGCCTAATGGCATTCAACACGAGGCATAAATCATATACAAATAACTGCCAAAATTGTAATCACGTATTTATCTCATCAGAAGCAATAATTTTAAAGGAAGTTTTTTCGAAGACCACTTTGTTTTTAAGATAATATAATCTCTTAAAATTAAATATTTTTTACCCGCACTGGGACTATTTAAAGTTGAAAGATTTAGTCGAGTTAATAAATAAACAAATAAGAACAAAAATGAGAAAAATCTTGTGCAAATATTTAGTATTCAGGCTAAAAAAAAATTTTAAGACAAAACATTCACATGCATTAAGTACTTAGGTATTTCTTTATCTTTAATCCATGATTAGTTTTATTTTAATAGTGCAAAATACGGGACAAAAATGTGATTTTCAAAAAAATTTATTAGATGTTTATGTTCCTTCAAATGAGTTAAAATTTATACCCTATATAGTGGAACTTCTAGTACTTACTGAGCTTATATAAAAGTTTCCTTCACTCCTTCCTTAAAGATTTTTCATCATTAGAATGATACTTATGTTTAAAATTATCACTAATGTAAGACAAATATTATACAGACTATGTTATAAGTAGACCTGGGCAAAAAATCGATATATTCATAGGAATGAATTTTATTTTTTAAAAAATTGAATCAAATTGATTTGTCAATTCAAATCGGTAGTCGTTATATCGATTATAATCCATTTATAGAAAAATCGATTTGGAATATCAATTTGAATCAAATCTGAACATTTTGGTGTAGCTTAAAATTTTTTATTAACTTTACTGGTACATACTTATATCGCGGTCAAAGAGTGACTCAAAATTCTGCCCATTTCGTCGACCTCACGAATTCGATTCAAAAGTGATCTAAATAATAGATTGTTGTTTTTGTTTTGGAGATATGACAAGTCGAACCTGTTAGTTGGCTTGTTCACGTCAAGATGAATCCAACATTCTCGGCACACTCGTTCATTGTGTTCAAGATTCTCAAATATACAAAGTCTATCATTTCCTATGTAAAATCTTTCGTTCTTTATGAATCTACAAATAGATTTTACCAAACACTTTGTTTTAATGAGGTACTGCCGATTTTACAAAAAAAAAACAGGATTTTTGCTGAAAATATTCAATTAATCGGTATTTTTGTATTGGAGACTTACAAAATCTCGATAAATACTCTAAATACTCTAAACCTTGTATCCAAAGGACTTTGAACTAGGATAATTTGGATGTATTAGGTTTGGTTATATTACTGAAATGTATTTCAATAATATGTAAGCCTCTTCACCACGTCGCGGTACTAATCCAGGACGAGGTTTGTTTTTATCTTGTTTTGTTATTTTTATTTTTTCTTTTGTTTTTTTTTCAATTTTTTTCAACTATATTTTTTAGCATTTTTTTATTTATTTTTTAAATTCACAAATAAATAAATTTTTGAAGTGAATCTTAATAGTAAGTATATTTAAGTATGCGAATCTGCTTCAATTCGTATAGAAATAGATATGTCGCAAATATCTGGATTTGGTATATGAACTCCTACAGACTGTGGATAACCCAGATACCAAACGATTGACGTAACATGGCTACAACAACCAATGGTGCGTGAACCACTTCACAAGTACAGTAATACTCACAGATCGAATCTATTCCAGTTTTTGCCTTCAACTAGGATAAAAATGTGATGATATTTCCCACTACGGAATCGGGATTTGATATAAGCTTTGATTAGTAAAGGATCTTCAACATCAATCTCATACCTACCATAATACAACGTTGCTTATTAAATTATTGTTTACAAAAATATTTTATAACTTTTTTGAACTATTTTTGGTAAAATATTTGAAAAGAACGGAAATTACGTTATAAATGTTACTGCTTGTATTTATTGAGAATTTTAAGATAACGCAAGAGGTCACCAAGAATGTCGGATTCGCCTTGGTGTGGATGAATCAAATAACGAGTTTAACTTGCCTTATCCTAAAAATTGATTGTAAGTATGCTCAACTTGAAATTTTGCCTAAATTAAACTATCACGATAAGCTATCATTTAGACTATTTTTTAATTGAATTCTTGAGGTCGACGAAACGGGCGAAAAATAGAGTTTTTTGTTGGGTCACTCCTTATTAAGACAATATTTTTCTCGATGTTTCAGTTTATAAAGTTTAAATCACTTGTTTCTAATTACCTATGAAATACCTGAGTTATATATTTATTTGCCTATATGTTTGGTAGAAACACATTTATGTTATATTGTTTTATTACAATTAAATATTCCTTCATTTCCTTCTACTCCATTCGATATACATTTTTTTTCCACGTCTAATTGTTTGTTCAAATTTTAACTTGACAATTCGATGTTCCGATTCAATTTAGTTCGGTTTGAAATGGTCAGCCATTCAATATTTCAATTCGATTTTTTCGATGGGTCGATTCAGAAATCCAAAGAAATCAATTCGAATTGATATTTCGATTGCAAAGGATTAATCGATTCGAATCAAATAAAACTATTCAATTCGATTAATCTTTTTGGCGAATCGAAAATTGATTCATTATTTTGCGAATCACACAGGCCTGGTTATAAGCATCATCTTATTTTAAACCGAAATATGAAAAAAAATCTTGTTTCAATGTAAGAAATGCTGTTCTCTAGAATCCATTTCATCGACAATAAACCACACTTAATAATATGCAATGATACTTTAAAATTAAACAGACTTGTGGATGAGTATCCAGATATTGCGGATATGATGTACCAGGTAAGCAAATATGTCAATAAAGCAAATGGCGCCAATGACGCAACTTGGCCATAACTACATCAGACAGCTAGAGCCATCTATGGGCAAATTCCGGATTCATATTTACAGACCTGGTAGTGAGAGAAAAACCATTTAACTCTGCAATTTACATACGACATAAGTTTACGTTAATACTTACATAAGCCAGCTTCATTCCAGGGCAATTTACATTGGAAGTGTTATAAAACTTCGCACAAATGTCTTTTAATTCAGGATGTAAAACAAGCTTTTCTTCAAATGCCACAGCAACAGCTGGAACACAAAAATTTTTAGTTACACTATCATTTTTTATATTTCAAGATGAAGACGGAGACATATTTTGTGCTATCAATTTCACAAGCGTACAACACTTTGTTTAATAATTGGACAATTCGTTTCAACAAATCACCCAAAAATGTGTAGATATATGAAAATACAAGCAAGTAAGACCATGCAAGTTATAAAATTAGTTCGGAAATACTAAATCTGTTTCATTGGCAATTGCAATGCATTGTATACAAGTTACCTACCTTCATACGTTATATCATCATGCGTAGGACCAATTCCTCCTGATGTTATAACATAGTCGTACGATTTGGAAAAATGCTGTACCTCTTCTGCGACTTCGTTTACAATGTCACCTACAACCGAAATCTGTATCAACTATGAATGATTATTTGGTGCACACACATTTTATTCCTAACCTTCTTCAACTGTACACCTAATTGATGAAATTCTGCAGCTAAAAACGTTGAATTCGTATCTGCCACTTCTCCTTTCAATATTTCATCTCCTATAACTGAAACCACTTACATTGTAAATAAAATATTTCTAACAGAAACATAACCTACCTATTATCCCTGCAGTGGTTGCTCTATTTAGTGCCTTGGAGCAAATATATTGCTTTAAATTCTTGCTTATCTGTATTTTATTCAACAATTTCAATGCCATTTTGTAAGTAAATAATTATAGTTACTTTAACTCATAAATAAATTTAAAAAATACCAAACTGGATGACATTTCTCATTTTATTGGATGTCTTCTTCTCTTCTTCTCCTTCAAATATTACTTCTAGGTACAAATGCTACTGTATAGAATTGTTTCTGTACAGAATTGTCAGTATTGAAATTTATTTTTAATAAGAACGAATTGTTATTTTTTTGAAAAAGCATTTTCTCAAAGAAAATACCCAAAAATCTACTATTATTGAACAGCACTACTTCATAACGATATTAAAAGTACATGCTTAAATACTTAAGCAACTTGTACACGCCACAGAAAACTGGACTTTTTTTTATAAATTATTTTGTTTCATACTTACCCTTACCCTTTAATTTTACAGAATTTGAAGAGTAGTTCTTCAGATAAACACAAAAACTTATAATTTCTATTTAAATGCGAGATATATGTATTAAATATAACAGGTAAAATTTCTACTATAAGAACTAATTTTTTGCGACTAGATTCACAATCAGTTATAAATATTACTGTTTGGCGTTTGGTATTTACTATAGGTTTATTTTTGCAGTAGTCACGTACTTTCAGTGAGTCTAAGGTCATTGTATACATACATATCAAGCATATGTAGGATATTATTTATGAAACAGTAAAACAGTAATATAGGTAATTTAAAAAATATATATATAGTAACGATAAATAACTAGTTATTACCTTCTGCATTAGTACAATGTCAATATCTTTAGTTGATCATCGTAATCAAAACATTGAGCAAAACATACTCACAATCAGTTGGCTCTGACTGCAAAATGCATTCGTCCGAAACCGTTACACACTTTTTGCATGTAACAGCACAAACATAATTAGAATGGCCGAACTACTTACACATCACCGGAAAAACAGTCATAAAAACAGTAATTTACACATAAACACACTGAAGACGACGGGGACATTAAATATTTCTCGAAAAAACGCGTAAACGTTGTGAGTGTTGTCTTGTTGATATTTGTACGGATAAACTCGATATTTTTGATAAATTTGATGCATAAACTAGTGTTTATGAGAATCGACTTGATGAACCATGTAGGCACCAACTTTATAAGTTTTAAAATGATACTATTGAGTAGTTTAACAGTTTCAAAAACGGCAAAAAGTAGCAGATCTTCCACACTACAAGAAAACAAAAAAGAATTGCTGAAGCTTCTTGTGATAGACAAAAAGGTGAGTTGATCATTTCATTTTGCATGAAAAAGTAGATACCATTGAGAGCTACGACAGCTTTAATTTTGGCATTCGTAAAGTACTTTCGAGAGTAGGTATACACAGTACACAGCTCGGTACACAGGAACTGTCTTTGTTGGAACCATTTTTTCAATTTAAATCGTTAGATTCGATAAAACTTGAGCCCATGCTTTTTCTAACTAGAGATAAATATTCCACGAATTGATTTAAAAATACGTCAACCAGTGTCGAAGATAAGGGGAGTTATACCTCAAGGGACCTCAGCTCATTACGATGCCACTAATTGTTAGTATTTTGGAAATTCAATCGATGCTATTAAATTTTTTACTTTATTTGAAGGTTTAGCCGATTTAGGATTTACGGTTCTTATTTTTTTAATCTTAACATTAACTCGATATTTAGGTAGATAGGTATATAAATCCAAAATAACTTTGTGGTACAAAAACATAATTTATGGAATTATTTTCTTGTTACAAATACGATTTCAAATTCAATGTAAACAATATTTTACTTATAAATAAAATTATAATATTTCCAGTGGCGATCGTAAAAACAATATTGATCATTAATCTCTAGGGTTTCTGTGCGATATTACATTAAATTTGTCTTCCCGATTAAAACCTAAAAACACCCGGTAGGTATAATTATACTTCAATTATTATTTTGACAAAATTTACATTAAATAGGTACAGCAAATGATACTCTTGATGTAGTTTTATATTTCCAACGAGCTCCTGAAATAAGGATAAATAAAAAAACGTATGATTGCTTCCAATAATAAATTGATGATTATTATGTTAATTGACCAAACCGAATTGACACTCAAAATAAACAGTTATATTAAATATAAATTATCAATTCGATAGTACCGATAATCTCACCAGATCAATAATTATTGTCTAGACTGAATCGAGGGTATTGAATGAACCACTTGGGCCGAAACGAATTTCATAATTGGATTAAATTGGATAGCATACTTTTTATGTAAAATTAAAACTCCTTTTATTAATAAATTTTAATGCTATAAAAAGATATTGATTCTATTGAAACCTCGATTGAAACTTAGTTTTGTTCAAAGTTATCACTGAAAAAAAGGGCAGTAATTTTACATATATTCTTTGTAAGAAAATCCTTATAATTTTCTTAAATTAATTCTAAAAATGATGATGTTACACTGAACCCTGTAACTTTACGTGCATATCTGCCATTTCTGTGTTTGAATATGACTCCATTTTATGAGTTGCAATAATGTTGTATACTTAAATTTTCGACCTAGAAGGGTGCGGTTTGGTTTGCTGGATTCCTCGAACGAAAAGCTAGAGGGACGCCAGAGTTGGTTTTTCGATATTTTCAACGGTTAAAAAGATATGGAAGGGATTTGTTAGGGCACGTTTTAAGTCACGTGACTTTTGAAATTGGCGAACAGCCCGTAAATTTTTTATTTCTCGATCTAGAAGGGTGCGGTTTGGTTTGCTGGATTCCTCGAACGAAATGCTAGAGGGACGCCAGAGTTAGGAAGGGTGCGGTTTGGTTTGCTGGAATCCCTGAATGAAATGCTGGAAGGACGCCAGTTAGTTTTTCGATATTTTCAACGGTTAAAAAGATACGGAGGGGCTTTGTTAGACGCCAGAGTTAGTTTTTCGATATTTTCAACGGTTAAAAAGGTTTGATTTGCTGGAATCCCTGAATGAAATGCTAGAGGGACGCCAGAGTTAGTTTTTCGATATTTTCAACGGTTAAAAAGATACGGAGGGGCTTTGTTAGGTCACGTTTTCAGTCACGAGACTTTTGAAATTGGCGAACAGCCCGTAAAACTTTTATTTTTCGACCTAGAAAGGTGCGGTTTGGTCTATTGGAATCCTCGAACGAAATGCTAGAGGGACGCCAGAGTTAGTTTTTCGATATTTTCAACGGTTAAAAAGATACGGATGAACTTTGTTAGGTCACGTTTTAAGTCACGTGACTTTTGAAATTGGCGAACAGCCCGTAAAATGTTTATTTTTCGACCGAGAAGGGTGCGGTTTGGTTTGCTGGAATCCTCGAATGAAATGCTAGAGGGACGCCAGAGTTAGTTTTTAGATATTTTCAACGGTTAAAAAGATACGGAGGGGCTGTGTTAGGTCACGTTTTAAGTCACGTGACTTTTGTAATTGGCGAACAGCCCGTAAAGTTTTTATTTTTCGACCGAGAAAGGTACGGTTTGGTTTGCTGGGATCCTCGAATGAAATGCTAGAGGGACGCCAGAGTTAGTTTTTCGATATTTTCAACGGTTAAAAAGATATTCGATATTTTCAACGGTTAAAAAGATATGGAAGGGATTTGTTAGGGCACGTTTTAAGTCACGTGACTTTTGAAATTGGCGAACAGCCCGTAAATTTTTTATTTCTCGATCTAGAAGGGTGCGGTTTGGTTTGCTGGATTCCTCGAACGAAATGCTAGAGGGACGCCAGAGTTAGGAAGGGTGCGGTTTGGTTTGCTGGAATCCCTGAATGAAATGCTGGAAGGACGCCAGTTAGTTTTTCGATATTTTCAACGGTTAAAAAGATACGGAGGGGCTTTGTTAGACGCCAGAGTTAGTTTTTCGATATTTTCAACGGTTAAAAAGGTTTGATTTGCTGGAATCCCTGAATGAAATGCTAGAGGGACGCCAGAGTTAGTTTTTCGATATTTTCAACGGTTAAAAAGATACGGAGGGGCTTTGTTAGGCACGATTTAAGTCACGTGACTTTTGAAATTGGCGAACAGCCCGTAAAATTTTTATTTTTCGACCGAGAAGGGTGCGGTTTGATTTGCTGGATTCCTCGAACGAAATGCTAGAGGGACGCCAGAGTTAGTTTTTCGTTATTTTCAACGGTTAAAAAGATATTGAGGTGCTTTGTTAGGTCACGTTTTAAGTCACGTGACTTTTGAAATTGGCGAACAGCCCGTAAAATGTTTACTTTTCTCACCTAGAAGAGTGCGGTTTGGTTTGCTGGAATCCTCGAATGAAATGCTAGAGGGACGCCAGAGTTAGTTTTTCGAAATTTTCAACGGTTAAAAAGATAAGGAGGAACTTTGTTAGGTCACGTTTTAAGTCACGTGACTTTTGAAATTGGCGAACAGACCGTAAAATTTTTATTTCTCGACCTAGAAGGGTGCGATTTGGGTTGCTGGATTCCTCGAACGAATTGCTAGAGGGACGCCAGAGTTAGTTTTTCGATATTTCAACGGTTAAAAAGATACGGAGGGGCTTTGTTAGGTCACCTTTTAAGTCACGTGACTTTTGAAATAGGCGAACAGCCCGTAAAATTTTTATTTTTCTCACCTAGAAGAGTGCGGTTTGGTTTGCTGGATTCCTCGAACGAAAAGCTAGAGGGACGCCAGAGTTAGTTTTTCGATATTTTCAACGGTTAAAAAGATATTGAGGTGCTTTGTTAGGCCACGTTTTAAGTCACGTGACTTTTGAAATTGGCGAACAGCCCGTAAAATTTTTATTTCTCTCACCTAGAAGAGTGCGGTTTGGTTTGCTGGAACCCTTGAATGAAATGCTAGAGGGACGCCAGAGTTAGCTTTCGATATTTTCAACGGACAAAAAGATACGGAGGGGCTCTGTTAGATCACGTTTTAAGTCACGTGACGAAATTTTATTGAAAGTAAAGTTTTTGAATTAAGAGTTTTTATAGGTTTTATAAATATTTTGTAAATTTTAGGTCTTGACCTTGAATTAAAGGAGAGGAAGTGCAATGATTGGAAACGTAGTGTAGCATAAATCTAGCAAGTGAGTGACAGTAGCAATTACTATGGTAAATCTCAAAATTCAATATTCCCTTAGTTAGGGCTTTATTTTATTGTTTGAGTTAAAAATATGATTATTAATTGCGACCAATATGGCGAAATTCTCGAAAATATTCAGTGTGTTCCACCTTCTCCTTTAAAGTGACAATTACAAGTTAATAAATAATAATGGTACCAATGTGCGGAAGTTCCAATACACTCAATGAATAAGACCATAGTTATTATTACTATTAATAATATGTTGTTTTCCGCAATTGCAATAACTGCGATACATTTTAAAAAGTAAAATATAAATTATTGTCAATTTATTAGAATGTGAAGTGACAGCTGCCGTTTATTTTTTACCTTTCTGTATAGGAAAAAATAGGTAAGTTTTAGAAAATTTTATTACGAATTCAAAGAAATATACAACAAAAAATGACTTGCAATTCGAAGCTATAAACTAAAAACTAAACATCTGTTTTGTTTTTAATTGAGAGACCTGTATATTTGTCGGTGTGTGTGCCTAGGCGTTTTATAACTTATTAGGCAAATTGTAAAGTGATATGTAAATACATACAACTTTTTTACAAATTGCAAATTGTAGGCGTTTTATAAAACGTCGATTAACTATTTATAAATTTTCTTTATAATGTGACTGACTTTTTCCAGTCGTTTTGTAAACAACTGAAAAATGAATTAGGCATTTATGAAATGTCAATTTATAAACTCATAATATGAAGTGGAGAACTAACTTAGAGACTAGATAATTAATAATCTGCGCCTGCCTTACAGTTCGCCTAACTCGAGAACAGTTTCATTAAAATACGCCTGAGTATGTTCAGCTCAATGTTCAGTTCAGGTGCAATGTAAAAATAATGGATTTTTCGTTCAGCGTTTTGTAAAACCCTAAAATTTTCAGTCAAATTATAAAAAAATTGTATCTACACATCATTTTACACTTTGCCAAGTCCTTTATAAAACGCCTAGGCATTTTATAAAAAGGCTGAATTTGTAGTCCATAACGGTGCAAATTTTATTAAAAGACGTGTTCCACTGAAATTTTAATGTTGTGATTTTTTCCTGTACCTTTTTGAATAATGTCCTTTTTATTTTAATTACTGGTGTAATTCCTATATCACATTTTAACTACAGACAGTGCAATAAAAAAAATTGTTAGGTATGTGCCTTGTATTTGCAGCTGCCTCAATATTTATTACATTTTTTAGTTCTGCAGTAAGTACTGACTCTTCAGAGTGCCCCACCAGGAATAGCCATGCAAATGCAGCAAAGCAGTAAATTCTCTATATGTTCTTGAAATTACTTTGTCACATTGTACAGACATAAAAAACAAATTAAAATAATCCTCATTAGTATAATTTAAACGATCCTTCGGCATTTATATTTAAATTTTCGGCAAAAACTATTACAGACATTACAATAGTTTGACAACTATCTTGACAAATGTCGAGTTATTTTAATTGTTTTTGGAGTGTTTCAGGCCAATTAGATAACAGATCTGATACGAGAAAAACTCTCCAAAAAATAGAAAATAGCAAATATCTTTAAAAGTAGTAACAGCAATCCTAACAATGCTTATACGGCTCGAAAGGAAATTTCATTCTGCATACGACAGAGTAAAAATACATGGCGTTCCATGTAAGTTAAGAAAGTATAGGGAATATTTAATATAGTGACCCTCAATTTAAAATAAGAAAGTTGATGTTGGCTTCCGGTATAACCGGAAATGTCATCGAGTTCTAAATATTTTAGCTGTGTTGGCCCTACTGCCTTTGCTAGGTTGCCAAATTTTCAGTTTTATATGGAAGTGTCTCCAGTAAATCTTATTGCGAATGTAAAATATGTCATGTCACGATCATTATTTGCGAAGTTGCTATTATTTTAAGTTTTATATGCGGGGAATGGTGAGGGGTGCGACAGAAAATGACAGTTTTAATATCATTTACATAATTTATTTATTATTATTGATAAATACTACATATTCTACTTAATTGTATAATATTGAGCATCCGTTAATATACAGGTATTAGTCTAAGCGTTCAAGTGGCAGAAACGATAAATTTAATTTAATAATTACTTAAGCTACACTCTAAATGATAACGTCTTCTTTCTGCCAGTCAAACAACTTAGACATCTTTCGGGATACGCAACACATATGTAACACTAATATAAGAGCCCGTGTAGTACATTAATGGCTTATCAAAAAACGACACTTCAGATCCTAATTACAAAAGTGTAAAAATTTTTTTCAGTCATGTTCGTTAAAAATAATCTAGTCGAGTACATGTCGTCGCGCGTGCGTCACTTGAACGATTTTTTTTTTCGTGTGCTGCTGCACTGTTTTCCGCGATAGGGAATCGTCCGAGATTCCTTGAGAAAAGGCACGATACCTATTTAATGTCCGTTTTGGCACCCGAGAATGCTTTTCAGTTAAAGTTCGAGACTATATTCAATTAATATAAAATCGTCTGTATCACTTGCACAATACTGTTGCATTGTCACACTATTTTACAAATTCGCTCATCTCCTCCTCCTCGACACCGCTGCCGCTATCATCTGTCTCAGCATCGGTTCGGGGCTGCACGCCTTTGGATCACATTTCATCTCGCCGTCTCCACCGCATCTGCAACAATTTTTCGTCATTAAATTTCAAATTAAATAACCAATTTGTTAAGAAAAGTGACTGACTTTCAAAACTCGTTTTACGTTTATCAATTTTTGACACAATCTAGTTATAAAAAAACTAGCTTTAAATTGCTCCTTATTTAACCTTTAATCTTTGGACTCTTTCGTCTAGGACTAGGAGGTCAAATGTACAGATTTCAAAGTGCAAAGTTATAGAAATCATAACATAATCTTAGCGCTAAGAAAGTCTTGGTTTTTAATTTAATTTTGAAGATTAAGATTAGGATCGAATTTTTATAAACGAGATAAAAATATTCGGATTGGCACCGAAGACTGTAGGATTTAAAATTAAAGTGACATTATTGTTTAAGTTAAGACCAAGATTTTTTTATAAACTCTCCAGCTGTAATAATCATTCAAAAAATTAAAGACAGTAAATAAAGACCTCTACTGACTTAATAACGGCCTAAAACTTAACTTCAACAAATTGGCCAAGAAATTGAAAATAATTTATTGGCCAATTTTGAAAAGTTTTAGTAATTTTTAAAATATGTACTGTATTTAAAAAACAAGGTTACAGGTTTTTTATTATCTAGAGTTGGGTCAGTGGTGCTTTGCTTCCATTGCGATGGATTTTTGATCCTAGAAGTTAGCAGTTTTAAATTTAACAAACAAATCGGCCAAAATATTGAAACATGTGCCACGAATATATCTAATTATTACAATTTTTCCCCAGGTCAAAAATATTAAATATAAAACAGTTTAAATCATATACAATTCCTGTAAAAAAATCATCCCTATTGTTAGCGCCCTCTACATTTTAATTTTTTATTACTAAAGAGGTGTCGAAACTCTCTTCCCTTTTAAAATGATTAAAATTACTCGTTCAACAATGTAAAAACATGGAAACTAGGATTGACAATTTGACATTGAGTAGTTGGTTTGTTATATGTCACTTATGTTCATATTACATCTGTATATAGGCATCAAAATATATATTGTTGTGTTGCTTGCTTGTTTCCCACAATATCGTTTGACAAAATATAATAAACTTTAAAATCATTTAGGTTCTTGAGTTGCTATTTATTTTGTTTAAATATCAACATTCAGTTCATGCAAATCATGTTCCAAATGTTCACTCTTAAACAAGAATAAAAACAATTCTTCACATCGTAGAGGATTTTAAAAATAGGGATGAAGTTTTTATCGCAAAATCTGCTTTGATTAAAACAAAATTGGATCAGTTCAAAAGCTTCTCTTTTTTCATAAAAAAGTACTGTGAGAGGCTAGCACTTATTTCTTTCAATATACTGTTAAGTACTATATTTAAAAATATATGCCTCAGTCTTCTCTTTGAGATTAAAAAAAATGTCTAAAATCTGAACATATGAAAATACGATACGAAATTTCATGAACACGTACATTAATAAATAAAGATGTACCTACTGAGATAGACATAATTTTGAATAACTTATTATGTAAATAGTTTTAAATCTAAATTTGTCTAAACGTGGGTAGGCTCATCCTTACATTTTTCCAATTTGTACCAAAACAGTAAAAGCTGCACAAAGTCAAGAAATTATGTCCATTCACAATCAAATTTGCATCTCTACAATTAAAAAAAATCGTAGTATCGTGGCAGAACTTTAGTGGAAATTCTAACATTTTTTTTTAAACACTGTATATCTCAAAAAGTAGACTTACAAAGCCATAGTATATATAGGGTGATTCACAACTTATCCAAAAAAATTTGGGGAAAGTGAAATGGAGTCAATATCGTAAAACAAATTTTGTAAAATCCTTATAGTTTCCGAGAAAAAAATTATTGAAGTTATAGTACATTCAACCACTACATATCTAGACAATTGTAGTCTCTAGCGTATTCGCAATACGCGTGGAGAGCCACGTGGCCTCAGTGACTCCGAATACTGAAATCCGATTTTGCAATCGTCGTTGCGGTAGTGTTTACCTGTTATCTGTGGTGTTTACAATAGTTTTTTAGTAGTTAGTGTCAAAACTGGTTTGCATGTATAGCAACTCGGAGTTGATGGATATCGTTTTAATTTATGGTGCAGAAGTGTATTTTAAATCATTTTCGAACTACACTTTTTGATTTTTTCATTACAAAATTGTATTTGTAACGGTCCCCTATACATCCAGAATTTTAATTTTATTTGATAAGTTCTTAATCACCCTGTGTAAGGAATATTCTTAAATTTGCAAGATTGAAGAAAAATCCTTTTTTATTTTTCACACGCATTTTATTTTTCGAGATAAAATGTATCAGCATAAAAGTCGGTCCAAATTGAAATTTTATTCATAAAAAATACTCACGTGCACTGAAGACATGGCCCGGAAGCAGACGGGATGACATCCCCTACTTGATAGGCCCGCCCCTTGATCTGACAGCCTGACTTCGTCACTCTGCCCTTGTAGGCATGCGACAAGAAGTGAGGCGGTAAGGTGGTGGTGGTCGTGGTCGTCGATGTGGTTACGTTCACAGCCGTCGCCATACCAACCGGGCATTCGTACCTAGGGCAGCAGAAACCTCTGATTGGTTCTTCATGGCACCTGGGGATCGGTGGAGGACAGCTCTGTTGAAGGCAAATGATGTCGCTTCTGAAGCAGAAGCAGAAATCGCAGGGATCGTCGCGGGGAATTTGTTGGGCGGAAACGTACACTTTTCCGCCGTATCGGCATGTTCCAGGTCCTAGAGGACTCTGGTCTTCATCTTCGTAGTCGTCTGGTGCGTGATAATCAGGGAGCTCAGGTATTTGTTCGCCTGGGATATCGTGTCCAGGAGCAGGAGCTGGGGCATGTGTGGGTGCTGCAGTTGACGGTTGTGAGGTAGAAAATTGGGTTACAGGGACTGAAGTAGAGAGTTCTCCTTTAACGTATTTTTTGGTAGTCTCTTCGATTTTTGGTCCTGACGTGTACAACGCGGAATCGTTGGTTGGGCTCTGGCTCGTGACCTGAGGTGATGTGTATACTGGCTCTTCTCTCTCAGTTGAAGATACACCTTCACTTTCTAATTTAACTGTTTCTTCCGTTGGCTTGCTAATCAGAGATCCTTCTGTTGATACCTCAAGTTGTTCACCTTCTGTAACAACTGGGATACCGGTAGTATATTCTTTAGTTTCTGTAACTGGTGGTGTATATCCGATTTCAGTTAAGTTTTCTACAGGTGCGTGAGTTGGGAAAGGCTCAGTTTCAGATTCTTTTTCAGGAACAATAACCTTTTCAGTTACTTCTGGTTCCTCCAATTTAACGGTAGTAGGTTCAGTTATCTCGCTTACAGGAGTTGCAAGTTTTTCTGTAGCAGATTCTTCCGTTTCCGATTTAGTAGGTTGTTGCTCCACAGTTGGTATTTCAGTTACAATTTCTTTTTGTGGACCCTCTGTTTTTGGTATTTCAGTAGCTGGTTCTCCCGCTAATTGTTTCGAAGTGGTTTCTGCAACGGCTTCAATTATAGAAGCATCTGTAACATCTTGAGGTTTTTCGCTTTCTTCCTCAGCTTTTACTGTCACTTGAGATTCTGCTTCCAATACTTGTGTAGTACCAATAACATGTGACTCTGTAATGCTTTCAGGTTTCGTCTCAATCTCCAAAGGTTGTGTTGTTTGAACTTGATCTGTTGGCACTGCAGAAGGAAGGGTGGTTTGATAGGGAGTTTCTAATTCTTCTACTGATCCGGTTTCAGTAGGCGCTGAACTACCTTCATACTGTGGTTGAACAGACTCACTTGTTACTTCTGGCTCTTCCTGAACACCTAGAGTGGTTTGTTCTGAAACCTGAGGGGAAGTTTCGCTTGAAACTGAATCTGTAATAGTTAATACAGAAGGCGTTGTAACAGCTTCTTCCATTTCAGGCACGGCTGCTATCTCTTCAGGAGTTTTTGCAGACTCTTCACTATCAGTTTCTGTTACAGTTTCTGAAATTTCAGTTACTAAACTATGGCTTGGTATCTCCTCCGTATTGACCTCATCTTGTTCTATTGCTGGTACCTCCATTTCTTCCTCGCTTGGTTTCTCTGGCACTACGCTTTCAGTAGAAATCTCTTTTTGACCATCTGTTTGTTCCGGAACTTCTGTTTGCCCTTCAATTGGTTTTTCTGGAATGGCGCTTTCAGTAGTATCTGGTAGGGCGCCTTCTCTTACACTTTCTGTTTGTTCTGGAACTTCCTGTGGTTGTACTGTTATTGGAACTCCTTCTTGTGGTTGTACTGTCTCTCCTTCAATAGGTTTTTCTTGAGCCACGCTTTCAGTGGTATCTGGCAGTGCACCTTCTTTCTGACCTTCCGTTTGTTCTGGAATATCTTCTTGTGGTTGCACTGTTACTGGAACTTCCTGTTCTCCTTCTATCGGCTTTCCTGGAATTATTCTTTCAGTAGTATCTGGCACGGCACCTTCTTTTCCACTTTCTGTTTGTACTGGAACTTCATGTGGTTGTACTGTTACTGAAGCTTCTGTTTCTCCTTCAATTGGTTTTTCTGGGATTGTACTTTCAGTAGTACCTGGCAGGGCACCCTCTTCTGTCTCTTCTGTTTGTTCTGGATATTCTTTTTCTGGCTGTTCCGTTATTGAAGCTTCTGTTTCTTTGGCAGGAATTTCAGGAACTATGCTTTCAGTTGCACTTGGCAGAGAACCCTCTTTTTCACTTTCCTCCTGTGGTTGGACTGTTACTGAAGTTTCTGTTTCTGCTTCAATTGGCTTTTCTGGAATTACGCTTTCGGTAGCATCTGGCAGAGTATCTTCCTTTACACTTTCCGTTTGTTCTGGAATCTCTCCTTGTGGTAGTACTGTTACTAAGACTTCTGTTTCTCCTTCAACTGGTTTTTCTGGAACTGAACCTCCAGTGGTACCTGGCAGGGCGCCCTCTTTTACACTTTCTGTTCGTTCTGGAACTTCTTCTTGTGGCTGTACCGTTACTGAGACTTCTGTTTCTCCTTCAACTGGTTCTTCTGGAACTGCACCTTCAGTAGTACCTGGCAGAGCGCCCTCTTTTACACTTTCTGTTCGTTCTGGAACTTCTTCTTGTGGCTGTACTGTTACTGAGACTTCTGTTTCTCCTTCAGCTGGTTTTTCTGGAACTGCACCTTCGGTAGTACCTGGCAGGGCGCCCTCTTTTACACTTTCTGTTCGTTCTGGAACTTCTTCTTGTGGTTGTACTGTTACTGAAACTTCTGTTTCTCCTTCAACTGGTTTTTCCGAAACTACACCTTCAGTAGTACCTGGCAGAGCGCCCTCTTTTACACTTTCTGTTCGTTCTGGAACTTCTTCTTGTGGTTGTACTGTTACTGAAATTTCTGTTTCTCCTTCAACTGATTTTTCTGGAACTACACTTTCAGTAGGACCTGGTAAGGTGCCCTCTTCTACACTTTCTGTTTGTTCTGGAACTTTTTGTGGTTGTACTGTTACTGAAACTTCCTCTTGTGGTTGTACGGTAACCGAAACTTCCGTTTCTCCTTCAATTGGTTCTTCTGAAACTACAGATTCAGTAGTACCAGTAGTATCTGATATACCGCCCTCTTTTACACTTTCTGTTTGTTCTGGAACTACCTCTTGTGGTTGAACTGTTACTGAAACTTCTTGTGGTGGTACTGTTGCTGAAACTTCTGTTTCTCCCTCAACTGGTTTTTCAGTAGTATCTGGCAGAGCACCCTCTTTTACACTTTCTGTTTGTTCTGGAACTCCTTGTGGTTGTACTGTCTCAGAAACTTCTTCTTGTGGTTGTACTGTTACCGAAACTTCTGTATCTCCTTCCACTGGTTTATCTGGAACCACGCTTTCAGTAGTACCTGGCAAAACGCCCTCTTTTACACTTTCTGTCTGTTCTGGAACTTCTTGCGGTTGTACTGTTACTGGAACCTCTGTTCCTTCTTCAAGCGGTCTTCCTGGAACTATGCTCTCAGTAACATCTGGTAAGGAACCCTCTTGTTCCTTTTCTGTTTGTTCTGGTATTTCATCTTCTGGTTGCAGTGTTACAGAGGCTTCTGTTCCCCCTTCAATTGGTGTTTCAGAAGTACCTGGTACCGTACCTTCTTTTTCTTCTTCTGTTTGTTCTGGTATTTCTTGTTGTGGTTGTACTGTTATTGAGACTTCTGTTTCTCCTTCAATTGGTGTTTCTGGAGCTGTGCCTTCAGTAGTGCCTGGTAAGGCGCTCTCTTTTTCCCCTTGTTCTGGAATTTCTTGTGTTACCGCACTTTCTGTTCCTTCTTTAATAGTTCCTTCGGGACTTACACCTTCGGTAGTATCTGGTAGAACACCCTCTTTTTCGGTTTGTTCTGGAACTTCTACCTCACCTTCAATCGGTTTTTCTGGAACTGAGCTTTCAGTAGTACCCAGCAGTTCACCTTCTTTGTCAGAAATCTTAAAACCTTCTGTTTGTTCTGGAATTTCTACTTCTGGTTGCAGTGTTACTGAGGCTTCTGTTTCTCCTTCAATTGGTGTTTCGGAAACTGTGCTTTCAGAAGTACCTGGTACGGTACCTTCTTTTTCTTCTTCTGTTTGTTCTGGTATTTCTTGTTGTGGTTGTACTGTTACTGAAACTTCCGTTTCTCCTTCAATAGGCTTTTCTGGAACTGCATTTTCAGTATGTTCTGGAATTTCTTCTTGTGGTTGAACTGTTACTGAAATCTCTGTTTCTCCTTCAATAGGCTTTCCTGGAACTACACTTTCAGTTTGTTCTGGAATTTCTTCTTGTGGTTGAACTGTTACTGAAATCTCTGTTTCTCCTTCAATTGGCTTTTCTGGTACTGCACTTTCAGTAATTCCTGGAAGAGCACCCTCTGTTTGACCTTCTGTTTGTCCTTCAACTGGAATTACGCTTTCGGTAGTACCTGGAAGTTCACCTTCCTTATCGGAAGTTTTAAGACCTTCTGTCTGTTCTGGTATTTCTTGTTGTGGTTGGACTGTTACTGAAACTTCTGTTTCTCCCTCAATTGGTCTTTCAGGAATTACACTTTCACTAGTACCTGGTAAGTCAACCTCTTTTTCCCCTTCTGTTTGTTCTGGAATTTCAGCTTGTGGTTGTTCTGTCACACCGGAAATAGTTGTTTCTGGTACTTTTTGTTCGGTTTCAGTTGCGATCTGATCAGTAACTTGAGGTTCTTTCGGTGCCTCCGTTTCTACTTGTTGGCTCACTTCTGGCAAATCTGTGATTTCTTCTTGAGGCAATTTTGTTGGTTCAACCGGAGCACAACCGTCACTACCACAGTGGTCGGGATGGATGGGTTCTTCGATAATTTCATTTTCTATATCATCTTGACTTGGAATATGCTCTTCTGAAGGTTCAACTGAAGTAGTAACTTCTTGATCAGATTTTACAGTTTGTGTTTCAGGAGCAGGAGTTTCCTTAATTTCTTTTTCAGTTTCACTAACTACTTCCTTCTGTGTTGTTACCTGTGCATCACTGGACTCTGTGATTTCTCCAGCAACCGATACTTCTGTAGGCTTGACAGGTACCTGCTCTGTTACTTCACCTTCACCGACTTCAGACTTTACAGTTGCAATTTTTTCTGGAATTACTTCAGTTGCAGTTTCTTCTCCAGGAACCACTCTAGTAATCGATTCTCCGACTGTAGTCGTTTCCATGACGTGGCTATCCGATTCCATACTGGTAACTCCAGGTACAGCTGAAAATAATAAATATATTTTAATAACCTGTCGATAGGGTTGTTGCTAGGGTTGTTGTGATACTTACAGCAACTATATACAGGACAGCAAGCATCTGAAGAATGGAATATTGGTGCGCATTGTAAATTACTCGGAGGTGGTGTGCAAGGGATTGATTCACATTGAACTATCGAACTAAGACATTTACATGAGGTCTGGCATTGATTAATAGGTGGGATATGCGAGTTATTTTTGTAAGTTTGGCCATCGACCAAACAACTTCCTTCTCCAGGAATGCCATGTTCTTCAGACACAGAGGTAACTTCAAGTTCTGATTCCGTAGCAGATATTGGAACGTCAGTTTCAATAGCACCTTGCGAAACTTCTTCAGGAGTTCCTTCAGAAGGAATTTGCTCAGTACTTTCAGGTACTTCTGAAGGAATGCTTGTTGTGGGTTCTTGTGGTGCTTCAGATTCATGTGGTGAAACTTGATCTGGTACTTCTGTTCCCTCATATTTTGATTGTTCTGTTGTTATTGATAATGCAGGGGTTTCTATTGGACCTTCAGGACCTTCTGAAATAGGTGATTCTGTCTCTTGACCGCCTTCTGGTGTTTTACTTTCCGTAACAGTTTCAGTAGTTTCAGTATCGATAGAAACTTGATCGGTTATTTCGGGAACTTGAGTTATAGCAGAGGTTGATTTTTCTGTACCTTCTTGCTCCTGAGGTTTGATATGGCTTTCAGTTGTTTGTCCTTCGACTTCTTCTACCATCGTTACTTCCTGTTCTTGGCTTGTACCTTGTGTTACACTACTTTCGGTCTCTTGAGGGATATTGATTTCTGTCACTGGACTGCCCTCAGGTGACACTGTTTCAAGTTTAGGGGTAATTATTTCTACAACTGGTGTAGTTTCACCGATTACTTCTGTTTGGGTAGGATACACCTCAGTAGCCTGAGTTTTTCTAACATCACTTTGATCTGTGGTTTCCTGAACGATACTTTCAGTTTGTATATCTTTTTCTTGCTCAGGGAGTTCTGTATAAGAAGGAACTTCTACTTTCTGGGTTTCTGTAGTACTGGCAGTAATTGTTTCTGGAACTTCAGTACTTTCTGGAGATATAGGGGAGACTGATAAGTCGGATTCTTGTGGAGCTTCTGTTTTATCTTCTTTAGGTGCTTCGGAAGAAGTAGTTTCTGCAGAAGCTGTCTCATCGGGAAGTGGACTCACCCTTTCAGGTGCTGCGGTGGTTTCTGTTTCTTTTTCTAAATCTGATCGGGTAGTAGTTTGGGCTCCAATCAATTCTCCTTCTGTAGTTTCTAGTTCCTGTTCCTTCTCAACAGCAAGAGTCTGTTGTGTTTGATCTTCTGGTTTGATTGTAGGTGCCAGTCCTGGTGAAGTAGTTTCATATTCCTCAGGTGTCGTACCATGTTCAGTAATATCTGTAACTTCTCCTCCAGAACCTTCAACTTCTGGTTGTTCTGTTTTACCCACTACAGACGGTTCAGTAGCATCACGTGTGGCGGTTTCGTCAACAGCAGCTTCAGTTGTGAGTTTATCTAATTCAGGAACTTCGGTTGGTACAACTTCTGGAGTTTTCTTATCAGTTTCTTCGGGCGCACAACCGGAATCCGAATCGCAAGTTGGCGATTGAGGTTCGGGAATCTTATCAGTTACAGGGCTTTCCGATTCTTTGCCTGGAACAGCTGGTACACAGCCTTCTTCACCTTGACAATCTGTAGGTGTTTCCTTCTCCGGTACTTCTGGGACGCAATCGGTTTCATTTTCACATTCTTTTGGAACAGATTCTCCTGGTATTTTACTGACCTCTTTACCTGGAGAAGGTTCACATCCATGTTCAGACTCGCAAACCACTGGTACCACTGGTACATCAGTGCCAGTTTCTGTACTAGGTAATTGTTCCTGAGGTTTACAACTTTCCTTAGTGCAAATCTCTTCAACTACAGCAGGTGTTTCATCTTGTGCGGTCTTGCATCCTTTGTCATCACAAATTTCTGGTGACCCAGGGATATTTGTAATTCCTTCCTCTCCAGAGGTTGTAGTGTAAGTTCCAGCTTCATCGGTACTAGGCTGAGTAACAGCAATAGGCTGTTCAGTTTCTGTTGCTTCTATACTCTTTTCGGTTACCTCTTCACCTACCTCTTTTTCAGTTGCTTCTGTTTCTTCTTCAGAAGGAGTTACTGTAACAGTTTCGGTAATGTGGTCCATTGACACAGGTTTATCTGTTTCTTTGGATACAGTTTCTGTTATGATTTCAAGTTCTTCTTTTTCGGTGGTTGTAACAAGTTTGCCTTCTTCATCGCCTGTGGGCTGTTCTGCAGCTGATGTCTCTTTTTGTTCAGTTTCTGTTACTGGTTCTTCGGTCTCAGGTGCTTTTTCTTCTTCTGATTTCACCGTTGTTTGGGGTTCATCAACAGAGGGTACCAATTCATTTAATTTGTCTTCTGGTGCCTTGGTTATTTCTTCTGTAACCTCTTCTCCCTCTCCCTCTCCTTCTTGAGTAATGTCGTGATGTGGCTGTTCTTCCTCACTGATTGTTGTCACAACTTTCGGTACCGTAGGAGTTTCAAGCTTGGTTTGTTCAGTACTTCTTTCAGGCTCAAGAGGCTGAACAGTTTCTTGTGCTTCTGCATCTGTTACAGGTGGTTCTTGTTTTTCTCCAGCTGATTCCGTTGCTGATTCCTCGGTTGATATTTGTGGAGGTACGGTTTCTTTCACATGACTCTCAGGTTCTAAGGAAACAGTGGGTTGAGTGCCTTCACCTTCACGTTCTGTGACGACTATTTCTACACCCGCATGTGTTGTTGGTTCTGGTTCAGCGCTAACTGTGTGTTCCTCTGGCGCACCACTACCTTCCTGTACTTCTTCTGTAGTAGGCAAGCCGCCTTCGGGTTGTTGAGTTGTTCCTTGCTCAGCGCCGATTTCATCAACAGGTCTGGTATGTTTGTCTTCAATTTTAGGTACGGATGTCACAGACGGAGGTTGTTCTTCTGTTGGTTTACCACTACCTTCAATATCATTTTCTTCTTCTGGCAGGTCTTCGTGTTCTTCGTGATCGTCATGAGCGGGTATTTCAAACGATTCAGTTGCTGATTCCGCTGCAGTCGTTTTGGGACCTTCATCTTCTGAAGACACAGTTTCTTGACTAGTTTTTTCAGTTACAATTAGTTCGGGTTTCGTTCCTTCTTCAACCTCGCTTTCGGTGGCTGTTTGTTGGTCGGTAGTTTGGGATTTATCCGTTGCAGAAGGTGTTTCGGGTTCACCAGTTGTTTCTTGATCTGATTTGGATACAGCAGATGTGATAGCTTCAACGATCTCGGTAACTCTTGTAGTTATGGCGTCAACGGCATCTGTTATTCTAGATGTGAATGTTTCAACTGTAGCACTTTCAGTGACAGGTTGTGTTGCGCTAATGTCTTCAGTACCTTGCGCAATGAATTCTGTAACTTGTCCCTCTGCTTCAGGTGAAGGTTGCTCCTCCTCCTGACCGGTAGTTGTTTGTTCTTCAACTTCAGGGGTTGAGCTTTCTTTGGATACAATCTCCGTGGGTTGTGTAGTGGGTGCTTCATAGTAAGTTAAAGTAGTTAGATCTTTTTCGGAGATATTATCACACTCGTACGTATCTGGACAACACTGGCCTTCCTTTGCTGGCAGTGCAGTACAATTGACCTTATCAAGAGGAGTTGGTCCACATTCCTGAACGGCGCAAACTATATCTCCTTTCATGCAGTAGCACTGTTCGCATGGTACATCCTTCTTCACTAAGGCCCCATCAGCGTAGACCTCGTTGCGGTAAATACAGTCGGTGGGTGCACTTGTTGGAGGTAAAGTGGTCGTAGTGGTCGTCAATAATGGCCTTGGAGTTGATTCCAGCTCTGGGTGGTCTGTAAATATAGTCGAAATTAATTGCGCTGCTTTACTTACACTTGTAGTTTTATAACTTACCGCAGTCGTAACGCACGGGACAACAAACTCCATCTACATATACAGGACGGCAGCCTTCAACAACTTTTCCTGTTAGAGTACATTCTTGGATTATGCAAGCAGTCTTGTTTCGGATGCAATAGCACACCTCGCAGGGATTGTTGGGGTTGGAGGGTACTTTGGCACCATCCGCGTAGAAGAGGTTGTCGATCGAACAACCGTATTCGTTCGGGTGTCCTACTGCTGTAGAGGGCGTCGTGGAATCGGAAGAGAGTAGATGCACGGGAACTGAAAGGATAGAAGTAAATTGTTATTTGTATAATTCAGAATTATGGAAGGATTATTACCTTCAGGACAAGTAATGACCGGGCAACACTGGTCGGGCTTCTTCTCTACCTTGCAGTCCTGACCGATGGCTTTCGTGAACGGGCAAACTCTGAGATAGCACATGAGCATCCTATTATGGCAAGTACAATTCAGACATGGCTCGTTCGTGATTATCCTGTCTCCCTCGTCGTAGTGCTCGAAATTGTAGTAGCAACCAGTTGCATCTGCGACTAAACATAGCGTTTGTTAAAAATCTAACATCCAAAGGAAGACGTTTGATCTTTTTATTTGCTTGTTTATTTAATTTAATATAACTATACGACTGTAAAAGCTGAAAAATTTTTAGTATCTGCCAAAGGAATTATGGCCAATACGGCTGTTCATTTGGATCGTATCAAAAATAAGTCCTGAGAAAAATTTTTAGTTGGATAAGTCCCATGCAAAATAGTACTTGCCAATTTAAAACAATTTAAATTTCCATAGCATTTCTTCTAATGATAATATGTAATAATTATAATAAAGAGACCACAAAGACATTTTCAAATTGAGTTCAACTAAACATATACAAGGTATGTGGAGTGCATCAATATGTACAGAAAATGTTAATTTGGTGTCAAATATCCAACATATGGTTACTTAGTCTATAGCGAATTCGAACATAATTAGTTTTACGGGAAAGAAACAGCATTATAAATCCAAACTGTACTTGTGATGCTGAAGTCGTTTTTTACAGTTAGATACACTAGCATAGATTTTCAAATCATCACCATACAACAAAAAGTCGACAGAATTATCCCTGATAGCTTTAATGAAAGGGATAAAAAGACAGCGGGCCAAGTATCGAGCTCTGAGGGACATTTGATGATAAATATATCAGATTTGTAACCGCGACAAATTGAAGGGTAAGAGCGATTTACTGATGCCAAAATATTCTAGTTTGCATAGCATTATACCCTCATCTAATTATTGAATGTTTTGAAAATATCTGTGTAGATAACATCCACCAAAGTTTCAACAATGAATTATATAACTCACCAGAAAAATTACACAAAATACCAGTACGTCTGTAATTTTTAACATCATGTTCGTTCACCTTTTTAACAACAGGACACAAAAGAGACTGCTTCCATAAATCAGGAAATATTTTTAATTCAAAGAGTTTGGTTGAAGATTGTGAATAATAATTTGGAAAATAATTGTTATTACAGTTTCATAAGTAATGAAGGTACAAGTTATTTAATTCAGCTTTTGAAAGCGACAGTTTTTAACTCACCTGGATAGTATTCAATTTCCGAGCTTTGTTGTTCTAAGTCATCTAAAGGTGCTGAAAAAGAAAGAAGAATATTAGAAATCTCTGAAGATGTAATGAAACACATAGTTAGCGAATTCCTTCCTTCCTTTTTACACATAATGCGCTGTAATTAGTTTAATTTACTAATTAAGGTAAACAAGAAAATCGCTAATTTAATTAACACTGACTAATAAAGTATCCAGCTGCATAATCCCAAGTATTTATCTAGTTTTTACTACTACTGCGCTCTCACAGGAATTAAAGCATTTGTCAAACGTCTGGTTCTAACGTAGCTTCATGGTGTTTAATTGGGAGTACATATTTAACTGCCGATAAAAGTAATAACGACTATTTGCTCAAGTGAATGTGATAAGATTTATTTTCCAGATTGAAAGATTGTGAGAACCGACTTATACGTGTTTTACGTAATATTCGAGTGTTAATTTATTCTCCAGGCGCACACCGGTGAATTTAAATAGGTTTAAGGTATGGACAGTATCAATACTTAATATTGGATTGGTTGACCATGAACTGACAGAATTCCCGAGAAATCATTAATATATGATAACGCGTGTGTAAGAACCGGGCTAGATTTAAGCTATCCAGTACTGTTATGTGCCAGAAATTCCAGTTGTCTTAAAATTTATAATATTGCCTTATTTACATCATGAAAAAACGTGAATAGACAATTATGTAAACACATATTTACATTAAATTCCCACATGGATATTTATAACTTGCTAAATATTTTTTTTAGTAGAACTAAAAAGAGGCAGGTACAATTTTGATCGTTGTCATTTATCTGTAAAAGTGATCTCTGGGTAAATAAATAAATGGTTGCCCTGTAAACTATATTCTTTTCGATTTTTCCTGATCGTGAACTTCATATTTATTAAAGCAACGTGACTAGTGACCGTAAAAAATTTGAAATAAGCGAAAGTGAATTCAACTTGTTCAAGGACATGAAGACAAGTTAGGCGACTTTTGTGATGTAATTTTCGACGTAACTTCCATTTAATTAACAAAAAGAACACAACTTCAGTGATGCAAGGAAGCGTAAAACTTGAATTGTAGGTTTAGCGAGAGAACCAAAAAATAACATGTGGATGTATGAATGGGTTATGTTAACAAATGTAATATTAACCATTACCATAAAAAGCGTAATTATACAGGGTGTATCTAAATAACACCGAAAAAATTCAAGGGGCGATTCTCCGATGAAAATTAATTTTTTGAAAAAACCCTCCCCTGAAAAGTTACGCCTCTCCTAAAATTACAAAAAAAAATTGTTTTTCTTTTTTATCTTCCACGTACATCAAGCTAAAGAAACCAAACTTGGTGAACATTATCTGTCAATAAAACTACACTTTTTGAATTTTTTTCAACCCTGAACTATTTTTGTAAGGGGTTGAAATAATCAACCCCTATGACATTTTTTCTTATAATTTTTTTTTCGATAAAATTTTTTCCTTTTAAAAAATATGTCTAAAAAACCCCATTCATTTACTAACTTTTTGATCTCTTCAAGTTTCTTCGAAAAGTTAAGGATTTATGACAAAAAAAAATAAATGTATTGTAATGTATTTTTAAAAAGATGAGCTGTTTAACGCGAGTGTATTTTGCCGAAAGATCTAGTGGCCTGTTCTTTACAATGGAATCCGTAGAAACAAATGTCAATGTCATTTATTGTCATATTAAATAACATTTTATTAAAAAACACTCAACCAAATAGTTGACCTATGATTCTACTAGGCTAAGAAGTTTGGAACTTAGACTAAAAGTGAACAAATGATGAATAATGTTATAACAGTAACAAAAAATAAAAATCTGTCGGATATTGACAATACAATCTACAAAAAATGTTGAAAATGATTGCCTTCAGCTTCAATACAAGCATCTACTCTTGTTCTCATAGAATTGCGTATGCGTTCAAATATTCCTGGTGAATTTTTTATCGTTTCACACCCTGCTACAATGCGGTTTCGCAAATCATTGATATCTTCAACTGGCCTTGAGTAGATCAAAGATTTCAGATATCCCCATATGCAAAAATCCAAAGGATTAAGGTCAGGGGAGCGGGCTGGCCAATTTACATATCCTCCTCGACCTATCCATCGATTGGCATACACCTCATCCAAGTGACGTCTTGCACGTATACTAAAGTGGGCTGGTGCACCGTCGTGCATAAACCATAAACGTTGCCTAATTTGAATGGGAACTTCTTCAAGAATAATAGGTAATTCTTCGAGAAGATGACAATATGAGTCACCATCTAATCGTCGTGGAAGAAAATAGGGACCAATTAAATGATCGTCGATAATTCCGAGCCACACATTTAATGAAAATTGATACTGATGATTTCCTTCAAAAAAGTCATGAGGATTTTCCTCAGCCCAAATATGATTGTTACGAAAATTTCTAATACAGTCTCTTGAGAAATTCGCCTCGTCAGTAAATAAAATATTTCTTAAGAACTGCGGCGCTTGGCCGATCATATTAATAAGCCATTGACAAAAAACCACACGTGGTAAAAAATCTCGAATCAGTAACGACTGCACCCGTTGGAGATGATAGGGATATAACTGTTGTTCTTTTAAAATTCTAAAAACTACCGAATGGCTTACATTTAGGACACGAGCTATTTTCCTGGTACTAGTTTCTGGGGATTCCTCAATTAAATTAAGTACGGCTTCATCGACAGCTTCAGTTCTAACTTCTCGGCTACGGCCACAGTCATGACTTCTCTTTTCAAATTTTCCAAGTTCCCGCAAGCGTTGGTGAATATTTGTGAACGTAGTATGGTGGGGTAATCTACGCTCTGGGTACTGTTCAGCATAAAGTCTTTGCGCTTCCAATGCATTACCGTTAGCATACCCATATGTAAAATGCATATCTGCCATTTCTAAATTCGAATAGTTAACCATATTTTCGGTTTATTAACTAATATTTTCTACACAAAATCATGAAACTTGTGAAATAGTAAGAAACAGTAACAATAAATGACATTGACATTTGTTTCTACGGATTCCATTGTAAAGAACAGGCCACTAGATCTTTCGGCAAAATACACTCGCGTTAAACAGCTCATCTTTTTAAAAATACATTACAATACATTTTTTTTTTTTTGTCATAAATCCTTAACTTTTCGAAGAAACTTGAAGAGATCAAAAAGTTAGTAAATGAATGGGGTTTTTTAGACATATTTTTTAAAAGGAAAAAATTTTATCGAAAAAAAAATTATAAGAAAAAATGTCATAGGGGTTGATTATTTCAACCCCTTACAAAAATAGTTCAGGGTTGAAAAAAATTCAAAAAGTGTAGTTTTATTGACAGATAATGTTCACCAAGTTTGGTTTCTTTAGCTTGATGTACATGGAAGATAAAAAAGAAAAACAATTTTTTTTTGTAATTTTAGGAGGGGCGTAACTTTTCAGGGAAGGGTTTTTTCAAAAAATTTTATACCAAAGACCCCTATTAATTTTCATCGGAGAATCGCCCCTTGAATTTTTTCGGTGTTATTTAGATACACCCTGTATATGTCACCATAAAGTACCTAATAAATTATGTTAAAAAATATTGAAGGTAAGAATCTAGTTTATAATAAACCAAATATTATTTTACATTTTGTAACTAAGGAAACATTTTTATTACAACTGGGATTAAAATAGTTTCTTAAACTGTTAAAAAATTGAATTTGATTCGAGACAACTGCACGGTTCAATTGTCTTTTTAATTATAGACTATTATTTGGGTCAACCTATTGAAGGTGAGAATCTTTATTATTTTGTTTGGCTTTGGGAATGATTTTTTTTACAAATTTAACGTCTAATTGATAGGTAAACCGTTTAATGTCCAGGTCACTAATTAATTTTTCATTGACGTTTAAATCTTCGACCTAAATTTGCGCGATTATGAAGATTGATGCACTCGATAATTGCATAAAACGAAATTAAATTAAATAATGACGGAAAAAATTTTTAGTGTGTAAAGTTTATGATTTCAGAACTTATCATGAATTTATTGAAAGTCGGTATATTTGAAATGAAAAATTGGAAATAGCGTTTGCTTCAATCTGGGATATGAAGGGTGCTCACCACTAGTTAATATACAGATATACAGTGATTAATTAATAATGGGACAAAGCTTAATGGCAGGTGGCTGATTTCAGAATAGAACAATGAAACCCTAAAATTGTAAATCGTCTTTATTTCGAAAATGGTTAAGTTTTTCGGTTATTAACAGGTATACTTTTTTTTTATTTAGACTTGAACCTTGTTTAAATAATGTCTTATTTGAAGTTCAGATTTTTGAGGAACAAAAAGGTTTGATATATTTTTACTCTGACAGAACACTACAAGTAGCGCCCCCTAGAACTATTAGCAAAATACTTATCATTTTCGTAATTAGCACCTCAGAAAACAAAGGCATACAAACTTTCAAGACAGTCGGTTCAGATATTTCAAAAATATTTAAAAAAAATCAACTTTAACACCCTGCAGATAGAAAAGGAGCGACATTCGGATAAGACATATTTGGTTTAATCGTTCTATTCTGAAATTAGAAACCTGTCATTAACCTCTATCCCATTATTAATGAATCACCCTGTATATGTAATAACTTCTAATTCGTTTTTATCGAAAAGATTTTTCTCAATTTTATATTTAAATATTCTTATGTATGTACATTTTTTTACTTATATGTAAAAAATAAAAAAAGGTTCAATAAAAGAAGTTGATTCACTGAAATAATTACTTTGTTTGAATAGGACCAAATAAACATTTCTTGGCACCAAATAATTTTTTTGGGAAAACAATAAAAAGATTATTTTATTTAAACAGAGCGTTTGTCTATTTATGGTTCAATGATAATTGTATTCTTGTATGTCGACAATAACATTTCTCTAACACTATTTGGGGATTATACAGGTTGTCTCAAAACCAATGGGTCAGTAGCTTCCTTGGATAACAAAATATTGAGTTACATCAACTTACCACTTACAATTTTACTTTTTTCATTTTTTATATTTTAATAAA